GACCAGCACTGGAGGACCCAGACAGCAGTCCCGGTTAGAGACCAGCACTGGAGGAGCCAGACAGCAGTCCCGGTTAGAGACCCGCACTGGAAGTTTTTAAAAACTGGGGAGGCTAAAAGTGTTTCACCACCAGGTCTAAGTGACTGATTCAATTCCCACCCACATGGGAGAAAGAGAAAATGGATTCTTCCAAGTTGTCCTAGGACTGACTTCCTCCACACATGCACCATGGGGTGTATGTGTATACACACACACACACACACACACACACAATAATGAAATAATGGTGGTGGCGCACGCCTTTAATCCCAGCACTCGGGAGGCAGAGACAGGCAGATCTTTGTGAGTTCGAGGCCAGCCTGGTCTACAAGAGCTAGTTCCAGGACAGGCTCCGTAGCTACAGAGAAACCCTGTCTCAGAGGGAAAAAAAAAGTTGAATGATAGAATAAAGGAAGCCAAAGGGGAGCTGGACTTTTTGTTTGTTTGTTGTTTTTCTAGACATGGTTTCTCTGTGTAGCCCTAGCTGTCCTGGAACTCACTCCGTAGACCAGAATGGCCTCGAATTCACAGAGATCCACCTGCTTCTGCCTCCCTAGTGCTGGGATTAAAAGTGTGCACCACCACCGCCTGGCCGGAGGAACTGATTTCATGTGCCAGTCGGGAGAGACTAAGGACTAGAAGGAAACAACACTGAGAAGGCGGTTAAACCCTGACAGGAGAACTATGGTGGACAGTCAGGGTCTGGAAGCTGGGTCACTCGAGGTCGGGGCCCAGAGAGGTCTCTGTGTTGGGTGGGCACCCCTCAGGAAGACAAAGGTATTTCTAGTCTATCCACATCTATGTCTCCCAGCAACCAGCCATTTGTGCTGATGAGTTTGAAATCCCCCTTATCTCTCTGTGGGTTGAAGCCAGCAGCACCTGCACTGAAAACAGTGCCCATGTCTTCCCCATGGGCACCCCAACCCCCACCCTCCCATCTGAGCCATAGAAACCCAGTGAGGACCCTAGAGACTGAGGAAGCCCAGCTCCCTGCAGCAGGTGTTTCCTGGCCCATCCCTGCTCCTCAGGGATGGCTGAAGAGCCTAGACCAGCCCAGGCTTTAGGGAGACTCTGCCTCTGCTGGGTGGTGGTGGCACATACCTTTAATCCCAGCACTCAGAAGGCAGAGGCAGGCGAATTTCTGTGAGTTCAAGGCCAGCCTGGTCTACAAGAGCTAGATCCAGGACAGGCTCCAAAGCTACAGAGAAACCCTGTCTTGAAAAACTGAAGAAAAAAAAATGGAGACTCTGCCTCCATTTGACTCTAGACAGCAGTCTAGAGACTGAGAGTCTCAGTGCTCAGAACTCCAGGCCAGAGGAGACACCATTTTCTGCTTTGCTGTTAAGAGGTGTTGTGACAGATTACAACCCCCAGAGAGACTCAGACTGTAATAAGCAAGGTTTATCTAGCATAATACAAACTGGTTTGGAACCCATCTCCTACCCCCACTTCAGTGAGACAGAGGGGAGTTGAGCTCCTCTGTGGGCTTTTAAAGGTGGAAGTACAAAGAGGCCTTTTGAAGTTGCTTTGGCATGGGTGCAAGATTTTTTGCTCTCTCCCACCCTGCTAAGTCAGCTAGTGTTAGACCCTAGAGTCCAATCACTGAGGAGGAGTCGCCCCAAGAGACAATCTCTCACGCCACAGCTGATGTAAAAGCATGAGGATTTTATTAATTCTGTCATGACAGGGTCTTTCAGCGTTTGAAAAAGGCAGAAAGACCCCGAATGTCTGGTACAGGCTATTTTTAAAGGAAAAAGCCACAGGAAGAAGGGGGTGTCTGGGGGTTGTTCTTTAACTATTATGATTGGCTTATTCAAAAGGGCTATTACCAATAATTGGCTGGAGAGCGACTGCCAGATCAGATGAGGTAAGAGGGAAACATCTGAGGGTCACTTTGCCCCTTTCCCAGGGACTGAGTCAAAACACCAGGAACTGAGTCAACACCTAAGGGTTATCTTGCCCCTATTCAATAACTGAGTTTTATTTGGAGAATATTCACAAGGACTCAGGGAGATGACAGAAAGTTCCCAACATTTCAGTACGTGTGTGGGCAATTGTTAAGTCCTTGGTTCCCAGGGGAGGGGAGAGCATTACTGCCGAGAGGCCTCAGAGTTGTCAGAAATGGCTTCAGAGTTCTACACGAGTTTTTTTTTTGTTCTTAGAGAAAGGCTATCCTGTTTCTGAATCAGGCCATCTTTATCAGCCTGTACAGGTGATTTTTTTATTTTAAAACATTTTTCTAGGAAATTCCTTCTTGTCCCTTTGAGAATAAGGGGTGAGGGTCCCACAGGAGAAGCCCACAGCCCCAGAGACATGGAGAAAGGCTTACATAGCAGAGCTGGGGGTTTATTCAGGTCCCAGTAACAGCACACACTTGTAATCCCACTCCTCTAGTTGCTGAAGCAAGTGGATTTCAAGGAAGGCCAGCCAGGCCTACATAGCAAGCTTGAGATCAAACAAGGGGGCTTGGAACTTTATTTATTTATTTATTTATTTATTTATTTATTTATTTATTTATTTATTATGTATACAGTGTTTTGCCTGGGTGTATGCTTGTACACAGATGAGGGCACCAGATCTCAATGCAGTTGGTTGTGAGCCACCATGTGATTGCTGGGAATTGAACTCAGGACCTCTGGAAGAGTAGTCAGTGCTCTTAACCTCTGAGCCATCTCTCCAGCCCTGGAACTTGGTTTTGCCAAGGACAAGTTACTGTGTAACCAGCACCCAAGGCTCCTGGACACACAGTAGGCACTCAGTAGACATTTGCTGAATGAATGAGCCAGGAAGAGGATATTAAACTCTTTCTTAGAGGCGATAGGTAATGAGTTCTCCATTGATGGCAGGAATCAAGGATATGCTAGGTCTGAATCCCCAAGCCAGGGAACAGGGGTGAGTGCCTGGAAATGCCTAACTCTTTCTATCACAGTTCGATGGCCCAAAGCAACCAAGTTCACGAATGGCTTTTTTTTTTTTTTTTTTTGCTGAAACCCAGACTCCTGTGCCCCAGGATTTTGTGCACCAGGTTTCATCCAGCTCAGGCCAGCGCCGACTTTCTGGGAGCATCACCTAAGCCACTCAGGCAACGCGGTGGAGTAGGGGAAGAAAAGGGGCCTGGCTTTTCTTTTCTTTTTTTTCTTTTTTTTTTTTTTTTTGGTTTTTCGAGACAGGGTTTCAGGGGCCTGGCTTTTCGGCAACCCATAGTCCAGAAAGCCAGAAGGAGCAAAGCCTTAAGCCTTTCCCAAGGCACCAAGCGCTTTAGAGAGGAAGGACGAAAAGGGCCTGCGCTTCTGCCTCTAAGAACTGCACTGACAAGGAGCAGAGGGGTGTTGAGTGCCTGATTTCAGGCAGCCTGGGAAGGGTTCGCAAAGGATCCAGGAGGAGCAAGAGCCATTGGCAGCAAACCGAGCTGCATCCCAAGGAGAGCCACCTGCTCTGGACAAGAAATAGTGAGGGATGGGGTTGGAGAGAGGGCTCAACGGTTGAGAACACTGACTGCTCTTCCAGAGGACCTGTGTTCAATTCCCAGCACCCAGCATGCTAGCTCATAGCTGTCTGTAACTCCACAGGGAATCCAACACCCCCACACAGAGGCATATGGGCAAAACATCAGTGCTCGTAAAAATAAATAATTTCTTAAAAAAAAAAAAGAAAAAGAAAGAAATATCGAGAGAGAACTGGACGTGCAGGGAGATCTGGGAGCTGGCTAGAGACTCCACAAGGGTACAGGGCTGGCGCTGCCTGGGAGACAGCGCAGAGGCTCAGCAGACATAGCTAACCTGTTCAAAAGTTTGGGCACCACCACCTGAGTCTCCATCTCAAGCTGAGCCTTGCATCTCATTCCCGAATCGGGAAACACTTCTCCCTTCAGTCTCTCCTAGCCACTCTGGGTTTGGAGCCTTCTCTGGGCCTCGGTTTTGTCATGTGCATGGTGAAGCCTGGTCTGGGGACCCCAGAGTCATTCCTTCTAGAGCCCCTTTCTGCGCCTGGGTCTCTGTGTGCAGCAAGGGCAGAAGCCTGCCTGCTGCTGGTGGCAGAACTAGAGAGCCGAGACCTGGAAGACGGACCCTGTCATCTGCTAGATCTCAACAGATGACAGCCAGGCTGCCTATCCCCCACTCCTAGGGACTCCCATAGACACCCCTACGGCCAGTTGCACAAAGCCAGACACCTCCCTACTTGCTCAGGTCTAGGAAGAGTCTGCAGCCATGCTCAGATCTCACAGACTTGAGAGTTGTATCAGGCTGCCCTCCAGGAAACAGGATCCGGGCTGGCAGTCAGGGAAAGCAGTGGTCTGAAGAAGCCAGTGAAGACTGGGCACACGTGGAGGCACACGCCTTTAATGCCAGCACTTGGAGGTAGAGGCAGGTGGATGTCTGTGAGTTCCAGGTCTGCCAGAGCTACACAGTGAGATAGGACTGTCTCAAAAAAACAAAACAAATAAACAAACCATCCTGTGAAAGAGACAACCCTGGGGACTGGGGGGGGGGGCAGGATCCCCTTCCCATCATCCTGTGAAAGAGACAACCCTGGGGACTGGGGTGGGGTGGGGGGCAGGATCCCCTTCCCATCCTCGTCTAGTGAGTCCTCCATAGCGCAGCTCCTGCTGATTCTGCTATTATTTCTCTGCTTCTTCCCTGGGTGAGCCTTCCTCCCCAGCCTTGGGCCTCCTCATTCTGTCTCCACCGTGTGCATTACTTTCTTCCTTGAGCCCACACCGTGTGCCTCCATAAGCCAGCTTAGGTCCTGCTCCTACCAGAGCCTTCTGAATAAACTGAGGATTCCCTTGGGCTCCTGGGGCCTCTAAGGGTTTAGCTGCTCTCTCTGTTCCCTTCTGCTACTAGTGGTCCCCCTTCATCTCCAGGCAGGAAAAGCTGGCTGGAGAACACATCTCAGTGGCAGAGTACTTGCCATGTGTACAAGGCTGAATTCCCAGGACAGCAAAAAATAAATTCCAAAGATGAGAAAAATAGGCTTGTATTTAAAACATTGTAATGACTTGATACATTTTAAAAAAACAGTGAAAATGGGGAGGGGGCCATTAAAGTACGAGCATGCCTTGCCCAAGCAGCGAGTTTCTCTAGGATTTCACCTTTACCAGCGGAGTTCCGGAGTGCGCTTTTGTGGGGCAGGAAGAAGTGCTTCTTTTTCTGGAGTTGAGCACAGCTATAAATACCTGTGACGCAGCTTGGCATGACTATGGCTGAGGCTCCCAAACCTGCGTCAGGGACTGTCTCCAGCTGAGGGCGGCTTCCGAGAGCCATAAAGTGTGTGGGACTCTAAGTCCGGAAGGATGAGTTGTTGGGTAAGCTGGACAGGACATTCCTGGCAGGGCAGTCTGCCTGGAGGTAGGACGGTCACTCCTTTCTCATTTATTTATTGTATTTCATGCACATGAGAATTTTGCCTGTAAGTATGTATGTACACCACGTGTGGGCGCCCTGTGGAGGTCAGAAGAAGGCATCAAGCCCCCTGGAACTGGAGTTATAGATGGTTGCGAGCCACCCTGCAGGTGCTGGGAATCAAACCTGGGTCCTCTGGAAGAGCAGTCAGTGATTTCTCCAGCCCCTAGGACAGTTCTAATTGGCAGGATCTGGACCAGGCTTGGACTGGGGGCTCACACAGTAGAGAGGCGCCAAAAGCTAGAAGCCAGAGTCGAGCTAACCCCGTCGCTGGAGTTCTGACAACAGAAAGATCCAGGCTGTGGACCTTGCTCTTCCTCCAGATTGGTACCAGGAAACTGGTCCTTGTTGCTTGGAGAGGTGTACAGCATCCTGACTAGGTCTTTCCGGAAGGCTGGGGCTGGCATCCCACAAGTGCCAAGGCTGGCACTGTGCCTGTTCTGCCCCAGGGACTCCCACCACTGCTCAGAGTGATGCCACCCAAGTGCCTCTCCCATCTCATTAACTGGAAACTGGATGTCCACAGCCGGGGTATCCTGCATGCTGCGGGTCCAAGCCCTGATCCTACCAGTCAGAGGGGAGGCACACTGCCCCCTAAAGAGTTAGTGGGAAGCTGCAGTGGGGTCACGTGTCCTCCAGTGCCCTCTGCAGAGCCAAGCTGGCAGCGCTGCTTGCCTGGAGGGAAGGAGGCCAGGGAAGCTGCTCCTCAAAGGAGGGAAGAGCAGGGTTCTCATTTCTGCCTCTTGCTTGAGCCAGGTCTTTAGCTTCTGTTTTTCATTTCCTCTCAAAAGGCGGTTTGGGGAAAGACTCTGCCTGAGACTTGGCTTCACTGCAGTGCTCTGAGGGTGGGAACAATGGTCTCAGCCTGAAGACCTTTCTTTGTTCTGCCACACACATCCCGGGTCACAGCCCATCTGGGGAAGCCAAGGCAGGAACTCAAACTGGGTGGGAACCTGGAGGCAGGGGCTGCTGCAGAGCCATGGAAGGGTGCTGGTTACTGGTTTGCTCATCATGGCTTGCTCAGCCTGCTTTCTTATAGAAGCCAGGACCACCAGCCCAGGTGTGGCACCCACAATGAGTTGGGCCTACCCCACTAATCACTGTAATTAAGAAAATGCCCTTCAGGCCTGCCTATAGTCAGCTCCTGTGGAGGCGTTTTCTCAATTGAGGGTTCCCTTCTCTCCAATGATTCCACCTATGTCCACTAGCCAGGACACCTGCCTTCTGTAGTCTAGGCTGAGCAAGGATGTTTAGTCCTCTTGCCTCAGCCTGTGGGTGCTGAGATCACAGATATTTATTTCCTTGACTCAGATGGGAAGGGACAAGGGAACAGAAAGTGCTGCTTCTACCCCTATGCCCAGCTGAGCCCAGGTGTTCTCTGGTACTTTCTGACCATGTTTCAAACATAGTAAACAGGAATATTTGCTAAGAAGCTTCCTGAAGGGTGATGGGGAGGGAGGGGCTAGCAGTACTAACATGGAGTCCTGATCCTATCAGTAACCTCAGTGCTGGGAAGCTGGGGGTGGGGAGCGCTGAAGCAGGTGAATCTCTGGAGCCTACGATTGACGAGCTCCGGGTTCGTGGCAGAGCCTGTCTCTAGAGTGCTGTGGAGCACAGCAGTGGAAGAGAGACTTAGCCTCTGGCCTCCGGCATACCCAGTCCTTGAAGGCATCTCAAAGATTCCAAATGCTGTATCCATCAACCCCTGATCAGCCTGGGGGGAAGGCCAGAGTCAAAGACCCAGTAGAACAGTCAGGCCAGGAGACATATAGAGAGGGATGTGACAAGGAATCAAAGGGCTAGAGAGAAACCAGGGCTAGGACAGATACCCCGGGAGCTGAAGTCACTGCGAACTCAGGAAATTGGTGACCTGCTGGGTCTTAGGAGGGAAAGATGGACAGAGTAGATTTCAGCCTAGTTCAGTTCCAATGCCCGGTGAGAAAAGCTGTGACCCCGGTTTGTTATTACACTCCGAACTGGAAGGCCGGAAGTGCAAGCTATCACATGGCTCACAACGGCCTCCTGCTTTTCTGAGGTCCCTTTGTCTCTTGTGTTTGCCTGGCGCCAATGTCTAGCCTTTCTCATTCTTCAGCTAAGCATCGTAGACCTTGTCTGTACTCTGACCTGATGTTTATTTACTGATTTCTTGAGGCAGGGTCTCACTGTGTAGGTCTGGCTCGGCTGGAGCCCACTCTGTAGACCAGGCTGCTCTCTAACTCACAGGGATCCACCTGCTTGTGCTTTGGCCCACTGAGTTTGTGAGACAGAGCTGCCCAATGGCAGGAGTGACTGTGGCTCTCTTCTAATTCTGCCTGGCACCGGCTAGGTCAGTCATCTGCCACCAAGCCACACTGCCGGTGCAAATAGTGACTGGAACTCTGTCACAAAAATAAATGAACTGGGGTTACCAGAGGCTGGGGGTTCCAGGAAGTGGGACCTGCAGCAGTTAGAGCCCAGGCCAGGCTCCAGGAGGGAAGGAACAGAGAGGGGAGCAGGAGACCCTGGCAGAGCCGTGGGCATCTGCCAACACCTTGCTCCTAGGAATTGCTGAGTCCTTTGGGGGACACGGAAGAGAGGCATGGAGCCAGAGCAGAAAGGAAGCAGGGTACTGCGGGGACTCGAACCCCGGCCCAGAAGCATGGGCGTGCCGCCACCAGTGCCTTTTGCTTTTTCTGCTCACGTTCTCACAGACAAAGGTGAAAAGCAAAACCTGAGCGCGGCCATGAGCCGCGGTCAGGAAAAGAAACACCTGCGGCGGTTCCAGGCCCTCCCAGGATCACTCCTGCCTGCCCTGACACCTGCTAAGGGCTCCAGGGGACTCCAGTCCCTGCCTCCCCGTACATGTTTCTCACCTACATGAGAAAAGCATGAAACCAGACCCAGGTGAGCCTGTTTGCCCTGAGAGCAGGAGCTGTGCTTTGCAGTAGACATTTCCAGAAAGATTCTATGCCACCTGAGGGCTGCCTCTGCATGGTGGGGCTGGGTAGGAGAGGGAAGAGGAATCTTACCTTCGTTTTATACTTTCCACGCTTCCTACTTTATGCCAACAACTCACAATTCAACAGATCTAAGAACTAAGGCGGCTTCAACACTTGGTTAGCTGAGTGCTGCGGGCCCTCCAGGTTTGCTGGGTCCCGGCCACCTAAGCCATACAGACAGGCCCGTCTGCCCCCATTCTCTGAGACTGTGATCTCCAGCGGGAGTCCTTCCAGGACACTGTCGTGGTTTGGAAATGAAGTCAAGTTGGAAGCAGTGTCCCCACCAGTTTTCCTGTGATCTCTAGCACGCTGTCCAGGTTCGTGAGGGAGGGAGTTACTAAGATCCCAGAGCCACAAGGTGAACAGAGCACCCCTGTAAGCCCTGTAGTCCTCTTCATGTCATGGGGGAGCCCGGATCCCCTTCTGTAAATGTGGAGATGCTCAGGAACCCATGTCCCCAGCACGGTCCAGGTAAGACCCGAGGATCCGAGGACTGTAACCTGCCCAGAGCACCTGGGTCAGGCCATGCTGAGAACAGGATCCTCTCAGCTCACGTCCATTTCATACCGCTCCCACACCACAGGTTCACACGCACACACATGCAAACACACGGTAGGCACACATGCACACACAAGCATAAACCACAGGTTCACACGCACACACATGCAAACTCACATGTTCACATGCACACACAGTAGGCTCATATGCACACACAAATATACAGCACAGGTTCACATGTATACACATACAAACACACAGTAGATCCACACATACAGACACACTGAGGTTTGTGGAGTCCCACATAGGCCGGCCCTTGCAAACCCCACCTTCTCCATCCCCTTCTCTATCTCCTCGTGGCCCAGCCCTCTGGCTGGTACCCCCCTTCTCTCCCAGCCTCCCTTCAGCTCCCCACCAGCAAAGAACAGACTTACTCACTGCAGCAGCAGAGGAAATAGGCATAGTCATCTAAGTGCCAACCTGACTCAGAGTCCAGGCCTTACAAGCCCACAGAAATAGGAGCATCAGGGAACACCCTGTAAGATGAGCAAAGCATTAATTCAACATGGTGGTGATAAGACCCTCAGGTGTGGCTGCAGGAACCCCAAAAACTGAGCCACAGAGGAAACAAGACCTCTGGTTAAAAAGTGCGGGTTGAAATGACTTCTAGGAGCTCCTGCACAGTCGGCCAATGAGCAGAGGTGAAAGGGTGTCGGAAAAGGTGGACAGAAAACAGCCTGCACAATGGCCCTAGAACCATCCAGAAAGCAGAGAGCAGGAAGGTCCGAGGAACTGCTGTTCCCTTTATCCAGGGCATAATGGGGTCACTACACCATTAGAAGAGATAAATGCTGGCACCTGCTCATGGGACTCGGGAGGCAGGGACCGAGTCGCTCTCCCTGGAACATACTCAGCCCAAAGGGCACACCATCTCAGTAGGAGTAACTAGGTCCCAAATAACCACCAACCACAGCAGAGTAAGAGACTTCAGTTCAGTGCAGTCAAGACTGTGCACATGGCCGGGGGTGGGTATGGGGGCAGGAGGTAGGAGGACTCCAGCTGATGGGAAGGCACCTCAGCAGCTTCTGCAGCACTTACAGAACACAGCTCAGACCTTTTGCTGCACAAGGATACAATCATGAATTTGTCCCCAGAACACAGGGAGGGGTTTACCCAATGTGATGAGAAATTCTTCTCGTCAGCCATGAACACTTATAACCTTTAGTGGCTGGGTAGATGGCACATGCCTGAGCTGTAAGCTCAGCACTTGAGGGGTCAGGGTCGAAGCTGGCCTGGACTACAGACAAACAAGAATAGGGAGCTGGGTGCGGTGGTGCACACACCTCTGATCCCAGTGCTTGGGAGGCAGAGGCAGGCAGACTCTGAGTTTGAGGCCAGTTTTGAGAGCCTGTCTCAAAAAAACAAAAAGAAAATCAAAACAAAGGGGTGGAGAGATGCCTCAAAGGTTAATAGCACTGTCTGCTCTTCCAGAGGTTTGGAGTTCAATTCCAGCAACCACATGGTGGCTCACAACCATCCATAACGAGATCTGGTGCCTTCTTCTGGCCTACAGACAAACATGCAGACAGAACACTGTATATATAATAAATAAATATATCCAAAAACAACAAACAAAAACCAAAACAAAACCAGGCGGTGGTGGCACATACCATTCCAGCACTCAGGAGTGCAGAGGCAGGAGGATCTCTCTGAATTCAAGGCCATCCTGGTCTACAAGAGCTAGTTCTACAGAGCTAGTTCCAGGACAGTTAAGGCTCTTATATAGAGAAACCCTGTCTTAAAAAACAAACAAACTGGGCTGGAGAGATGGCTCAGTGGTTAAAAGCATTGCCTGCTCTTCCAAAGGTCCTGAATTCAATTCCCGGCAACCACATGGTGGCTCACAACCATCTGTAATGAGGTCTGGTGCCCTCTTCTGGCCTGCAGACATACACACAGACAGACTATTGAAAACATAATAAATAAATATTTACAAACAAACAAACAAAAATCAAAACAAAGCAAAACCAAGTAATACTAAAATAAAATGGAAAGAGAGCCATATGTTCTATAGTGCAGATACAGCTGCGTCCCTACTTCCTCAGGCCACTACACCTCACACCAAATACAATGGCCGTGGACGTCAGGAGCCGAGAAATAAAAACTGCCAGCACTTGGAAGCTGCATGGCTAATTTTAAATCACACAACAGAATTAAAACCACAAACAGAGCAGACATAACAAATCTGCTATTTCTTAATATACAGAAACCCTTGGGTATATAGGGACCACAGCCAGCCCTGTCACCCTCATGGCTGAGGCTGTGGCAGGCACTCAGCTGAGGACTCCTAGGCCTTCTAGGCCTGAGGAGGCTTCTGTTCTTACCCCTGGCTGCACTACGTTCCTTTGTAGTGAGAGGACAACTGTCACCTTTACTCCTGGCTTGTGCCATCTCCATCTGAGGCCTGTTCCTGTGACAGTTAGGGCAGGGCCAGTCACCTTGTGTGTTCACAGGTCTGCTCAGTGTCTAGGCAGAGGGATGCCGATAAAGGGACTGACGAAATCTGAAGCCAAGGCCAACAGCTCACTATTTTCCTTTGCTGGAAACCCCAAGCTCTTGCTCCCTGATGGTTTCGGGAGGCCTCCTCAGAGATGCTCCACCGTCAGCAACTGAGGGCCTTGCCTGGAGCCAAAGGCAGAATCAGAGCAAGCGCCCACAACCATCACCTCCCTTTCTGTTGACAGAAGTGTGTGACCTGGATGGGCATAAATAGGTTAAGCATAAGAATATAAAATCCAGGGATACCAGGAGAGAAGAATTAACGAAACCCAGTGGAACTAACTCTGCACATCAGGAGTCTGGGGACTGTGCTGAGCAGCCCTGCACACACAGGTTTCATCCCCAGCACCAAAACAAAACAAAAACCAGAGCTGTTTGCTTCCTCTAAAGCTTCTCGGGAAAGGCCAAACTGGATGTCTTCAAAGTCTATTCAAGAGAAAGAAAAATCAGGAATTAAACCAGGAGAAAGGCCATTCTTAAGGAGGATGCCAAACACACACACACACACACACACACACACACACACACACACATATGCACTACATACATGAAATGGCAATTGTATTGAAAAACAAACTTTATGAGATGACTTACAATGAGATAGAAATATTGAGTAGTCCAGTAACCCTAGAACAGTGACTTCCAGAGAGCCTGAGCCTGCAGAGAGGAGCACCAGGCACCCTGGTGTCACATGAAACCATGCTGTGCTTACGTGGATGAAGACAAGACTGAGAGTCACAGATGCACTACTGGCACCCCTGCCCCCAGCACTGGGCTCTGCAACTTCACACTGTATTCATCCCTACTTCCTTGTTGAGAAGATGCCTTTGAGAATTTAAAAAATGTAGACTGGAGATGGCAATGGTGGAGAAGTAGCTTAGCTGTTAAGAACACTAACCACTCATTCAGAGGACCCAGGTTCAAATCCTAGCACCGAATGGCAGTTCACAACCATCTGTAACTCCAGGCTCAGGGGATCTGATGCCCTCTTCTGGCCTCCAGGGCCAATGCATGCATGTGGTGCACAGACATACATACAAACACCTATATACATACATATACATATACCAAAAAAGTAAATAAAAAGAAATGTAGATGGACCAGTGGCACCCTGTAGACCTAGCTACCTGGAGACTAAAGTAAGATCACTTGAGATCAGCTAGGTAACACAGTGAGATTTTGTGCCTTAAAACAACAACAACAACAAAAAACTGGCAGGGCAGTGGTGGCCCACTTCCTTCAATTCCAGCACTGGAAGCAGAGACAGGCGGATCTCTGTGAGTTTGAGGCCAGCCTGATCTAGAGAGCTAGTTCCAGGACAGCTAAGGCTACAGAGAAACTTTGTCTCGAAAAACTAAAAACAAAGCCGGGCGGTGGTGGCGCACGCCTTTAATCCCAGCACTCGGGAGGCAGAGGCAGGCGGATCTCTGTGAGTTCGAGACCAGCCTGGTCTACAAGAGCTAGTTCCAGGACAGGCTCCAAAACCACAGAGAAACCCTGTCTCGAAAAACCAAAAAAAAAAAAAAAATAAATAAAATAAATTAAAAAAAAAAGAAAAACTAAAAACAAAAATAAAACTAGGCCACCGACAACCTGAGAAAGACCTACAGGCTGGGCCAGACTAGACCTCTGACTGTCGCTAACCACACCCAGATTCCAACCTTCCCTGGCAGTGTCCTGAAGTTCATGTAGCCTACATTGTCAGCAAAATAAAGCCAGGGTTGGTGGGGCATGGTGGCACATACCTTTAACTCCAGTACTGAGGTGGCAGAGGAAGGTCAATTTCTGAGTTTGAGGGCTTCTTGGTTTACAAGTTCCAGACCAACTGGGGCTAAACAGTGAGACCCTGTCTCAAACAAAACAAACTGTAGGCCTGGGAATGGTCTAGGTTTAGCCATAGATGAGCTATTAATATTCATAAAAGCACTAGTGTGATGCTGAGACTGGCTGGTTCATACAGCCCACATCCCCATGCGGCTCTTACCCTAAGGAGAGAGACAGCCTGTGCCTACACCCTTATGCCCTAACTCAGCTGCTACCCAGAAGACAAAGCATTTGATGCAGTGGACACAAGCTTGGAGTCTTGTCTACAGGGTCAATGCATGCTTGAAAATGGAAGGGAAGCTGATCTTTTGGGAACATTGGCTAAGCTAAGGAATTAGCCATTTGCAGAAAGACAGATTCACCCACAGCTGCAGCTACAGTCCTCCAGCATCTCATAGGCACTCCCTACCTCCCAGAGTGAGCACGGTGCCCTGGTGATGGGTGGTACAGCTCAGTAGTAAGGGCTCCAGCACCTCATAGGCACTCACCTACCTCCCAGAGTGAGCACGGTGCCCTGGTGACGGATCGTACAGCTCAGTGGTAAGGGCCCTGCAGGCTACAGAAGTCCTTCAGCGTGCAGAGGGTTATCACTAACACACTTGATTCAGAGATCCAGGGTCTCACGTGCAGCCCAGGCGATTAGAGGGAAATTAAGCATCTTTGCTCAACTCTAGAAGTGAGGTCTGAAGAAAGAGTGAGGGGCACACAAATGGAGTCCAAGTCTTTCAGCACATCAAGGGCTTGATCTTTCTACAGCTCAGAAGCTCATCATGATAGCATGCAATTATCTCATTTTCCTCAATAAAGCTGTTCTTAATTTTCCAAAAAAAAAGTACAATAAAGGCTGAATAAATAAATTCAAAATTATTTTTAAAAAATTAAGATTTTTTTCTATCAATTAAATAAACAAGTGGATGTCTTCCCAGGACCACTGTCACCACAGGGCAGTGTCGGCTCACCTTGCCGGGACCAGTCACACGGGGGCTGCCTTCCCTCTGCTAGGACCTGTGGTTTCTGGGACACAGAAGCAGGAAATCTGAGCAAGCCAGCGGTCTGCTTCCTCTACAGTCAGGTCACTTTTGAATTCCTGCAGGACTGGAGAGAAAGCCTCAGGCAAGCTCTCTACCAGTGAGCTGCAGTCCAAAGGACTTGTAGGGTGTGGCTTTGGGCTAGTAACAGCTCAGTGGGTAAATGCGCTCGCCATCGAGGCTTGACTGCTTGAATCTGGCCCCGGGCCCCATGTGGTGGTGGACGAAAACTGGCCCCCACAAGCTGTCCTCTGCCCACATATATCTAAACACACAATATGAATTATGTTAAGTCACCATCTGGGGATGTGGCTCATCAGCAGAATGACTGCCTGGCACAAGAGACCCTGGGTTCAGCCAGGTGGTGGCAGCAGCTGTAGTGGCCCACACTTTTAAAACAAAACACAAGAGGTCCTGCGTTTAATACTCAGTAAAACACATATGCACACATATGCACACACTCACACCCTCACGAACCTACTTGAGAAACAAAGGACCAGCAGGGGCAGGGCCTAAAGGCAGACACGACCCTGCTGACAGTGCACCAAAGGGTGCTTGCCCTCACCTCTGCTGCCTCTTTATCTCCAGCAGGACGGCCAGAGTCAGCCAATAACAGGGCTGCTGAGGGCGCAAGAGCAGGGACCTTAGACATTAGTAATGACATAGGAACTGGAACAGCACTGGACACAGTTGCAGCTCCTCAGAACAATTAAGTACCAAGCTACTGCATCATCTGGAAGTATCTCCTCCTACGTAGACATACAACGGAAACATGTTCACATAAAGACTTGAACACAAAAATGTTCATAGCAGCATTGTTTACATCAGGCAATAAACAGAAACACTCCCAACCTCCAAAGGAACTTGGATAAACAAAATGTGGTAAATCAATGCCGTGGAATATTATTCCTCATTGTGGAATATTCCTCCACAATGAGGAATAAACCTTTATCATATACATTGTCATCATCTGCAGTCCAGATGGAGCCTGAAGATCTATGCCCTGGGAGGTGAGAGGCACGAGGAGACAGAGGCTGCGTCACACTTACATGAGGTGCCCAGAGCAGGCAGATAGATTCACAGGGCGGGCAGCGTAAGGGCTGTGGGACTGGAGGGAGGATAGGTAGGAGGCTGTGAGGATGGAGCCTCCACCCACTCAAATAACTGGTCAGCAGCTGTGCAAAATCGGATATGTAACCACAGAACTACTACCTCACAGTCATGGACTTATGAGTTATAGTTTGTGAGTTATAACTCAAATTTTCCTAAAAACGTATTTTAAAAGAAAGTTTCATAATTTCACCAAAAATAAAAACAGTACATTGAAATACACAATATTAAAACTGTAAAATACTATAAGTAAATCAAGCCACTAATCCTGTGCACCGAACAGAACAAGGGCACCATGAGGTGGGGGCTGGTATGTAGCTCCCAGGGCCAATGTGGATCCCACTAGTGGGACCTGACTGTGATGCTCACGACTCCTTAGTTATAATAAATGCGAACAGAACAGGAGACGAGATGCATGGAAGATGGACGAGTAAGATGGGTGGCATAAGCAAAGACTGGAAACCCACGAGGACAGGCTTATCCCGGGTCAAGAGCGCCAAGCAGAGTGCATTACTGCACCAGCCCTAACTCACAGCTGAGGTAGACGATGACAACGTTCTCACAGCTGGAGAAGCTGTGGCAGAGGGAAGGTCATGAAGTAGCAAGAGACAGGCCCAGGGTGAGAGCTGGTGTCCTGACTCAAACTAAAGTGTTTTTAGCCACTATGTTTTTTGCCTTCCCAATGGCCCTACTGGTGAGTCCACACTTCCTGACAAGTATGTGTGTCTTTCCATGTGTCACCCTCACCAGTCACTAACAGACCAAAGAAACTCATTATTTAGTTAATAATTCACGGCACTGAGGAAATCAGCCATCTTGAAACAACCAAAGTAGATCCTTACCTGATGCCTAATACCAAAGCAACTTCTGGAAGCCTAAGGGTTGAATGTCAAAAATGGATCCAGAAGCAAGTGTGGTGTACATGACATGCTAACAGTAAACACAGGCCTGTTTCAAAATTTAATCTTATTTTATTTTATTTTATTTTTTTGGTTTTTCGAGGCAGGGTTTCTCTGTAGCTTTGGAGCCGGTCCCGGAACTCCCTTTGTAGACCAGGCTGGACTCGAACTCACAGAGATCCGCCTGCCTCTGCCTCCCGAGTGCTGGGATTAAAGGCGTGCGCCACCACCGCCCGGCTTCAAAATTTAAAACTATTGCATGAGGTCTTAAAAGACAAAGTGCAAACCTGAAAAGCATTCTGTAGAAGAGACGGCAGGAGCCCCAGAGCACCAGTTAGTGGAACTCACACAAGGACGGAAGCTACAGCTGGAACCTGAGTCCTGGCTCCAACCACAGCACCAAACCAAAACCAAACACAGAGACTTTGTCATTCTTAGAGCCAGGGAAAAGCAAGATCAAAGATGGAGCTGCCAGGCCGAGGGGAGCTATTTACCTGTCGTTTGCTAGAAGTGGCTGGCATCTCTCTGAGGCAGACATACTCACTCTGGCCTGCTAAGGGAACTTGTGCTTGGCCCAGCCCTCTTGCTTGGGCACGCAATGAGGCTCAGGGAAGAAAGGTGCGTTACCCTAGGGAACTGACAGGAGACCCCTACCAGGAGGGCAGTTAGGGAGGTGACCAACAGTCCCATCCTCAACCCTAAAAGCACAGGAACGCAGCTCCATGTGCCCCACTGGACAAGGTGTTCACAGTGGCAGGCGCAAGACACCAAAGAGCTGACACTCTAGGGCCTCAGAAGCCTGGCAAGCACAGGCCATTTCATCCGTGTTGCTCAGTAAATGTACAGCCACAACAGGCTTACTGTCCCCACTCAGCACACCAACTTAAGTCCAGAGAGAGCCAAAGTAATGGGACAAAGCATGGGGTTCACCAAAAAATAGTCTTGAATTAGACCAAGCTTTCTGAGTTCTAAAATGCAGAAAACAAAAAATTCTAATAAATGCATATTTTTTTATATATTTAAAACACCAAACAGCAAAATACCATAAAATGTAAAATCCAGAGAGGTCCAGAAGTATTTGCAACACAAATGTTTAGTTTCCTTCATGTATAAAGAGCACCTATAAATTGCTAAATATACCAGTCAAAACTACAATTTAATACCATTTTGTTCAAAGTTCAAGCAAGCTGGAAGCAGGAAAAGGCATGTCCTGGAGATAAGACTCCATTTAGACATACCGTGTGCATACACCTTCCCAGGAGGGGACCACTCATGATGCAGGCTAGCATTGATGATGGCCTAGCTGTTTGTTTTTTGAGACAGGGTTTCTCTGTGTAGCTCTAGCTGTCCTGAAACTTATTCTACAGACTGGGCTGACCTCAAACACAGAAATCCACCTTCCTCTGCACCCCAATTGCTGGGATTAAAGGCATGAGCCACCATATCTGGCCCAATCACACATACAAAGTCAGAGTCACTAAGATGGCTCAGGAGGAAGGGTGCTTGTTGTCAAGCCTGCCAACCTAAATTCAGTGCCGGAGCTGAGTAGATAGGAGAGCCAATCTGATAGCATTGCCCTCTGACCTCTACACTGCATGCACATAAACAAGTGTAAAAATACTGAAGTCAGATTAGGTTAAGTAACTGGTAGGAAGTGAAGACACACCTTATTCTTGTATAGGAAGAAATCAAGACACCATAAGGAAAGTGAAATAATCACACATGAACGACCAGGAAAACTCTAGAAAGGTTCAGTTACAAGGTAGGACTGCCCTCACCATATATCAAAGCAGACTGTAACAGTTAGACTTGAAATTGACACAGGAACATGCCAGCCAGTGCTCAACAGCTGTGTTATTCAGTTATGTGTAAGCCAGTAAAAGTAAACATACTAATCAAAACTACAATCAAAAAGGGTCCTTCGCTTCTCACAGTGACAACCAAGTTTAGGGACAAGCACTGGCAAAGGCGTGGGTGGGGAAAAGCCAACTGGAACCATCTTCCAGAAGGCTGGCAGCATCTTTGTATGCCCCAGACCCCCCATGGACATACTTGCTTACACATATGAAGACACATGTAAATAGGTATTTAGTGCTTAGTAATGTGAACTCAATGTCCATTGAAACAGCCCAGTGGTTCCCCAGAGTGGGAGTGGGCAGTTCAAATGTGACCACAGCTGTTAGCCCAACAGCCGGGGATGCAGGACAAGCTGTGGGGAGCCTGCACCCCTCCCTGCCGCACTATGCACCCACAGAGCTCTCTGTGTCACCTATGCGTTTGGAATTGACAGGAAAAGAATTACCTTAGCAAAACTGCAGGAAACCTGCTGAGCAGTCAACAGCAGGAGTAAGGCAAGGCCTAGCTCTGGGCTCACACACACACACACACACACACACATACACGCACACGCACACGAGCGAGCAGTGGAGGGGACAGTGGGCTGCTCACCAGAGTGAAGGAGGAGCCCAGCATGGCCTCTGAGAGGCAAGGAAGAGCCAGAGGGAGCTCACACCAGCTCTCCTGGCACCTGGTGGCCTTAGAGGACAGAGGATCCTTAATCTAAAAAGTGGCATGGATGTGTTGGAGGCCACGACAGCTCAGAAACAAGCGGGACTGAGGGGAGCTTTTCCCGAGTGTCACAGCCACCTTCCAAGAACAGTTTGTTTTTTCCCCGTTAGGTTTTCTATAGCCCAGGCTAGAGGCTGGCCTTAGACCCCTGGCTCTCCTGCCTCTGCTGTCCCAGCGCTGGGATGGCAGGTGTGCATTATCATACCTTGGTTTGACTTTTGGTTTCAACCAGCTTGAGGTGAGAACCCAGAAGCTGCCTAAGACTTGAAATCCATTATCACTCCGCCACAACCTGATGCTGAATTCTGGCAGGGACATCCAGTGTGAGGCGCTCAGCAGCCCTAACAGAGCTCCATGGCTGGTGGGAGACCAGGAGTTGGCTTTAGCTGTAGAAACGCTATCCACTGAACAAAACCAAGTTCCAGACTCCAGAGTGAAGGAGCCAAAGCACCCTGGAGCTGCCAGCCGGGAGCCCTCAGCCTCCTTCATGCCTGATACCCAAACCAGTGTCCCAAGGAATAAAAACTCACTGACCAGAACAGCCTGGAAATAGCCTGAAGGCATCAGTAGGAAAAAGGGTCAAAATTACTGTGTCTACATGACAAGATTAAATATTACGGAGCTCTAAGTATGCTGCATGTTGCATGGTTCATTTAAAAGCAGTAATATTAGATACATTCATGAAGGGGAGGTGTCTTAGGGATATAAGCCCTGGCAACTGTCATGGGAGAGGAACATCAAGATGACATGTTGGTTTTTTTTTTTCCTAAGTATTTACTTATAAGTTCATGACTAGTAATTTGTAAAGTTACAATTGTACTTCACAGCCTATCCCATGCCCTACAACAGTGCCTACAGAAACGTCGGTCCAGCATTACCGAAATCTGCACAATTTTGGTCCGCCTAGAAGAGCTACTCTGACGCAAGAGAGCAGAATGAGCCACAGTGTGATGGGGACACCAAGCTCTAGGCTGGATGTGCTCAGCTGTTTCAGGACAGAGTAACTTAAACAATTGTACCTTGGCAAAATTACATTGTGTGTGTGTGTGTGTGTGTGTGTGTGTGTGTGTGTGTGTGTGTCTTGGGCCATGAGGTCCCTATGATAACTAAGTCACAGTTCTTAAGTTTACACATAGATGACAATATCTCACATACCAGGCAGTCACTGTGCATGAGACAGAGCCAAGGAAACTGGGAGAAATGTGAAGTTCCATGTGTGAAGGCCTAGTAAGACGTGAAAACACGCCTCTCACACTCGGGTACATAGGCCTGCCCATCACTGGAGGACAACAGAACAGAGCATTTGTCTGACCCACGACTGCTACCCACTCAACACTGAGGCACAGGGGTTGCCTGTGGAGATCTCACAGTACAATTGTCAGTTCTGTAACACAGAGAGGACCCTTCCATCACTAGCAGGACACCAGAGTTTAACTTGTGGGGCAGCCAGGGTAAGAACGGGGCAGCTGTATGCTCACAGGACTCTACTCCTAAGCAAAATCGTGTCATGAGACGAGACAGTGGGCAGTACCATCTTAACATTACACACAAGAAAACGATGCAGCCCGACTCCCATAAAGACACAGAACAGACCAGCAGGACACAGCATACAGTAATAATGGCTACCTCTGCGCTGTGGGGTTCTGTTGGAGTTACTTCTCTGATGAAACAGTAGGAGAACCCACCCAGTCACCATCATGGGGACCCCACAAATTCTGTAAACAGCAGGAAAAGAGATGAATTCTATCCAATTAAGAAAGTTCCAGAAGATTACAGGCAACTTAATTCTTCTAAAGTTACAAATAACAAAATATATGCTTTGAAAAATTCATTTGGATAAGGTTTTTTTAGTATGACATTGGCCTGCGAGACCCTCAGGGTGCAGTGTGACAGGCGTGGAGGGAGAAAATGACATTTTCCACTGCCCTGCTTTTCATATTGATACAAGAGTCAGACATGTTGACAAGTTATTAAAAATGAAGCAAATGAAAGAGCCACACTGTGAGCCAAAGATTAGGATTAGCCGGGCTGTGCACTAAGTTTCAACAGGGAGCAGCGGGCACTTACGGAGTGTCATAGCACCTTCCTGCCAACTTTTAAACCGTCAACTTCATTCTGTTTCTACAGTAGAGCCTGAGCTTCCCAGGGTTTGACACACGACTACGAAAGCCTGGCACTGGGGAAACTGGAGCAACTGCCCGCCATCACTCCTAGCACGAGAAGGCCATCTGTGTCAACAGATCGAGCCCAGGCATGAGCAGCTGACTCCAGGCAACTTACAGTTACAGTCAGACTTACACAGTTTAAGTCCTTGTACATCACATACATCTTGGTTTTAACACAAGAGGAAAATAAGGCAATAGACACGACAGGACTGGCAGCCGACCCTCCCAGCTACACACACTGCAGGGTCCTCTCACCAGAGGCCGTGGGGAAATGCAGGCAGTGGGTCAAGTGATAAACTCTCGGACTACTGACAATAATTTCAGAAATGCAGATTAAGACAGGCACTTTTAGGGTCTGAGGATGAGGCTCAGTAGTAGAGTACTTGCCTAGTGTTTGTTTTGTTTAAAAATTAACAACCAGCTGGCGGCAGCAGCACACACCTTTAATCCCAGCACTCCGGAGGCAGAGGCAGGCAACAAAACCTAATACACATTAAAAATTTCAAAACTTAAAACTTTGGCTGAGAAGATGGTTCGGTAGGAAGGGCACTTGCTGCCAAGCCTGAAGGACAATTGAGTTCAAGCCTCAGATCCACAGGGTGGAAGGACAAAATCTACTCCACGTTGTCTTCCGACCTTCAGGAATGCTGTCACAGGCACACCTATGAGCAAATTCACATACAATACACGAAACTATGAAAAAAAACCTCAACAGAACAGAACGAAAGGCAACTTTATGGAATGGAGAAAATTATCAGCCAAATCATATAAGAGTTAAAATTCAGAATACAGACAATCCTGCAGGTCAACAATGGTAATAATCCACAGCCTTTTAAACACGACAAGGACCTGAATGGCCTTTCCCCAGGAAGTCTACATGATCAATAAGTACATGGAACGGAAGACAACAGTGAAATGTCACCTGACATCCACCAAGATGGTTGTGCTGTATCCTAAAGAGGAAATGGTCTCAGAAAGATGCATCTGTGCACCATCCCCAGTGCAGTGAAGTCCTAAAGGCAACAGGCCCAGGGTAGGAGCAAGGCCAAGTATGGAAGCAAGGAAAATCACACACCAAGATGACTGCACAGATACTGTGTGATCAAAACAACCAGTCAAGATGCATACTGGGAGGCAGAAACAACCAGGAGGGAACCGGCTCCTGCTGATGGTCCTCTGACCTCCACACATGTGCCTACACACTGAAGATAAATGTAATAAAAGATAAACACTGGGTGGCTCCACATACATGTGGGACCCAGAACTGTCATTCAAAGAAACAAAGCAGAAAGGCACTGGAAAGAGAGCCCACCTGGCGGGTAGTTTCAGATTTTGCAAGGTCTGGAGGTCAGTTGATCAATTTAATCTGTGTAACACTCTAAACTGTACACTTACACCGTTTGTATCGCACCACAAAAATGCTAAAAAGTAGCAAGCAATGGATCAATCCACTGAAATAACCTCCTGATGAGAGCTGTGAGAGCAAGTGACGCACAGAGGAAGCTGGGTTCATAAGGCACCCGTGCACACTGGCCAGTCACGCCACTCGGCATACAGTACACACACACACCAGCTTCACAGAAAGTAACTCAAAAAAACCCTCTGGACAGCAACGGAGCAATACGAACCTGAAGTTAGGACTGATAGTCATTTCCTTCTAGAAACTGACCTGGGTATCTCAGATTGGATAAAGCTTGGGCTCCAACGCCAACCATTTCCTAAAGGAAAATAGCTGAAGGCAGAGGGGTGAGCCTGCCCAGGGAAAGCGACTGCTGTGCTAGTGGCAACCAACTCCTGAAAGTCATCCTCTGACCTCCCCTTGTTCACCAACGTTTAGATGAGGTCGCTTATGTCCAGTCATGCAATGGAGCATTCGGTGCTTTGGTCATCAACACAAGGCTTTCACTATGCGTCACAGAAGACACGCTGCAGGACAGGATTTAAGTACAATCCGACTTTTTGTGTAAAGTGCACATATAGCTGACGCCCAGGAAAAGAAAAATCCGAAACAAATGCCAGTAACGCTTGTTAATGGAACATAAATGAGCTTTCCCCCATTAGCAATATTTACAGTAAATCCTCTTCATCCTCAAGCAGTGTGCACAGAGAGCTGTGAGGGCATTCTGTCCAAGGGAGGCCCAGGAACCCATGGGAATAGCTTTCTTGTTTTGGTTATTAGTTTTCTTTTCCTTGACAATCCCAGTTTGCAACCATATTGAGATGAATATACAAATATTAGATATTTGGAAGAACCCACATTCCTTCCTTCAGTAATAGCAGCTAAGACATGGACACCACCAGGGACTAATGCTTCTGCAGCCCATGGCAATGACCACAGGTCTCTCACAATCATAAGACAAACTGAACGGCAGGTGTCAGGTCTTTCTGTAACAGGCCACATCTGAAGTCACTGTGTAGAAAAAAAAAAAAAAACAACCTTTTCTTTTCATTCATACAGGATCAGCCTCAGAACTACTGAATCCCAGGTCAACTGCTTCCTCTGGGAGTTCAAAGAATAAGCCTATACTCAGACTTATCTGTGCACCCAATAATAACCCAGGACCCCAGGGCAAAGACCAGTCCTTGTAGGATAGTGTGGCTCATGTCTGCCTCTCCAACATTTGGAAGGCTGAGGAAGATTGCAGAGTTCCATACCAACCTGGGCTCTCAGATAACAAAACCCAAACCAACAGCCCTCCAAGTCTGCACACTGGATAGCTCAGCCTGTCTCTGTACCTCTTCTGATTAGCTGGGGATGAAAGCCTTACCAGCCCGCTGCCACAGAACACAGAGAACCATTTAACGGTCTAAAAACCAGAGTTCTGGAAAGGGGGTGGAAGTGTAGAAACCAGGTAAGAAGCCAGAAGAGGCTAGGACAGACCAGCCTAGAAAGGGCAGGGAGACCAGGAGAAGCAGTTCACATCTCCAACCCCAGCACTTGGGAGGCAGCTGCTAGTGGATCTTTATTCTAGGTCAGTCTGGGCTAGTGAGACCTCTTGAAATACAAAAATAAAAATTATGGGTGGAGATAAGCTGCCCTCATCGGCAGCAGCACCTACTCTTGGTAGTCCAAGTCCAGACAGGAAGCTCCTGAGACACCCCATTCTGGCTTCTCAGTACAAGGAAGGAGTCATCCTGCGTTTGGTCCCCACCCCACTCCAGTTCAAGACTCATCCTTACATAGACAACAGTTCACTGTAGCCACCAGGTTCCAGCCCTACATGGTAGTGTCCTAAGCTCAAAATCTGCCTGAGCCATTTTCCAGTTGTAATGAGACTCCATAGGGCCAATTCATGTATACAGGCTGGTTCCTATTTTCAAAGTTTACAGGCAAGACACACTCCCTGGATTCCAAGGCCCACACCCTTCCCACAGTGACTCTAGTTACTGTACCTGAAGATAAATGAAGTCCAACTCTCCAGGCAGATGGGATTTATAAACTGCCCAAATCAAGCCCACACCAGCTTCCAAGAGTGAAGACGTGAAATACCTTTTGAAATATAACCTGGAAATGCTCTGAATCATGTTCAGAGCACTCCCTTACCAGTGCCCAACAGTGAGCAGCCCCTCCCTCCCAGCTGGCAGGCTGCTCAGACCAGTTCTCCCAGGGGGAAGGTGACCTGTTCTCACTGGCTCCATCACAGAGCTCTAAGTCTAGGCCTGGAACTCTGTGCAGACAGAAACTTCGCTATGCAAAGCGACAGAGGTCGAGAATGTAACAGTGATACAAGGATTCTAAGGTGTTTCAATCTCAAACCTTTATTTTGCTGTATAGGAGAAAGATGATTAGAACAAAGAGGTGCTGTGACCGCCGCTACAGCTCCCCCATTTCCCATTCCAAGGTGACCAACACTGCTGTCCCAGTGTCATTCCCTGGTCACACCATGACTTTAAAACACAAAGAAAACGCAGCACACAAATAACCAACCCGAAGACAAAGTCCCGAGGTAACAGGAGTGGGAAAAGACAACACAAAAAGCCAGACAGCCACTTTACACCCAGGTTTTCAATGTTTACAGACCATTATCTAAGACGTCCCTTGCAACCCCCAGTTTGACCTTTATTTCCCCAAACTCATTTGACAGTTAGTTCCCCCTCTGCTTAGGATAGCTGGGAGCACCATTCAAGCTAAACACACCATGTTTTCATCGCGGCCTTGGCAAAGATACGCAGATCAAATTTCCTACCAAATGTCACAGTAATTTCACAGCACGTGCAAGCCCATGTTCCCTGTCACAATGACTGATTTGTTAGTCAAGTAAGCAACACCTGTTGTCTCCTGGCCACTCCCAGAAATTCAGTATGTTTCATAAGGCATGGATTGCATATTAAATTCCTGTAGTGTTGTATAAGGCATGACTTGCAAATAAAATTCCTTTAGTGTTGTATAAGGCATGACTTGCAAATTAAATCCTTTAGATATAATAGCATTAGAATTTAACCACACAGTATGAAAGGATTTGAATCATAAACCCAGCAGAATCTGTCAACCTCCGGCACAAAGGCCAATGTCTTTAAGAGCCCACAATGTAGGCATTCACAAACCCTCTCCACAGGCTGGCATGTGCTTGGGCATTCTTGAGTTTGATACCATCTTCCATTCAACAGCATAGCAAATCAATTTTGCTTTTCCTCCTGATTCTGATATTTTCCAGGCAACCGTTACTGTCCCTCAATTCACCCACAGTAAGGATTTACCAGTGACTTTCAGTGTGAGCTATGGTTCCCCAATCGTCACTCCCATCACGCCACATCCCTTGTCAGCACCCCAATCCCTCACCAAGCCTCTGGCCAAGACACCAATGCCAAGCTGAGTCCTGCTCCCTCCAGCAATCCCACCTCAGAAGCCTGCTTGATCCAGTAAAACTTTAAAAAGTTTATGCTGGAAGTTTTAGACGACACCCCTAATCCCAGCAGTGTTGAGAGCCAAGGCCAGCCTGGTATAGGCTGCCAGGCCCCAAGTCAGAAATGAAAAGGAGCAATAACAGTGGTCACTCGGTAGGTAGCACCTGCTTATCACCCAGTACCAAAACCAAACCCACAGAATATATTCCCAGATGCCATCCCAATGCCCAAAGTAGACATGCCATATACATATCCCAACAGAATTTGCAGCCAACTTGTACCCTCCCATACTCTTTAAACACGACACCCCCATCCATTTTAATAATCAGCTAATACTCTTCCAGTCCAGCCATTTGAACAGCTTTCCCAATACCCAAAGTTTATCACACTTAAGAAGGCCTCTGACCAATGCAGAGGTGCGCAGGCTGCAGAAGCAGGGAAGGTGGGCGAGGTCGCCGGGCTCCTCCTGCAAACACCATCTACAAGGCACCGGGCCGCGTTGAGGGCGTCAAAGTTAAAAGTGTTCTACACCTTAAGCAATCTTCTCGAAGCCAAGTTCGTAGCACAGAACTAAAGACTGGAGCCTTGATTTAGAAGATGCAGCAGCTGAATGCCTCTACCCCCAGGAAGGAGGGTGCTGGCTGGCATTCATGCATCCGGAGAATGACGCTCCCAGAACAAGACATTCATCCGGAACATTCATAGGCGACAGCCCCTCCAGCTGGAAGGGTCTGCCCGTCCCCACCCCCAAAGGCTGAACCACTTAAGATGAAGGCCTTCCAAACACAGGACTTCCTGAGTAAGGCCTGGACACATGGCACTGCAGGACTCCTAAGCTCTGGAATTCACTGTGGGCATCAGCTTAGGTCGCTGTCTCCTCCAGGGTCTGCCCTCCTGCACTGAAGGGGTTCCATTTCTCCTGGTGCCATCTGCTTGCCATGATGAACACTACAGTAATAAACCACGTCCATGAGGCATTCATTTGGGTGACCGAAACCATGGCTGTGATCCCATCCTCCCCTCCCAAGTCAGGGTGTCCTCCACTTTCCCCAGTAGTACCAAAATACCGAGTCCAAGTTGTCAACACCGACTCTCTACCTTCCCCAGGCTTACCAGATGACCGAGAGACAAGGTTAAGGGAACCTGTAACCTCAGAGTTAGAGGGAGAAGGGGAGGAGGGAGTTCACAGAAGAGAGAGCCATGGAACCTAGGGAAAGTCCAGAGGGGAACTGCCACCTGAAAGATAAAGCTGTGGTCAACGTGGCCCCACCTAGCAGATCTTAAAAACAACTCCTCAGGCCACCCCTCGCACCCAGAACTAGGTGCTGTGAGTGAGGCCAAGCCCAAATTACATACCACCCGGGGCCAGAGCTCTCAGCCCCGTGAAGCCGAGTCCACGGTCCAGAGGACGGGCCTCATCCCCAGGCGGGTTCACAACCCCTATCTGGAAAAAAAGGGTCTGCTGCCATTGTCAAGTTCAAAGCTGACCCCCACGCCTATCTTCCAGGAGATCCAGAGCCTCAAGGGCCCGAGTCCACCCGTCTACATCTCCTGCTCTGCCACTAGAGCTAGAACACTGGGTCCATGAAGGCCCCTGTGAGAGTTGTGACCTCCTGAAGATCAGGTTCCCCCACTGCTACAGACCGCAAGGCCAGTCTGGTCTTGCAGGATGTTGCCCCTGTGTGGATTGTTGAAGGCGCTTTGGAGGCTGCCGTCCACACGACCACTGTCCCCAAATCTAGTCTCTTTAATAGTAAATTTTCCTTCTCCCACCCCCATGCTAGCGTCTGCCTCTGTATCTGCCATCTCTCTCATCTGAGCCCTGAACTAGCCACTTCCTCCCCGCTGCTAAGCCCAGATGGCAGCCCTCCTTGTCACTAACTCCTGCTGACAGGGCCACAACTTTTGCTTTTATAGCCTTGGGTCGCGTCACCCGGTCATCGCTCAACGGGACGATTCCTCCACGGACACTTAAAAAAAAAGTTCCTCCCCGACCTAGTCAGAGGAGCCCACGAGGGGCGGGTCACGGCCTCCATCGACGGCCACTCCCTCTGATTGCTCCATGATCCTTTCTTGAGCAGTGCGTCACGGGATGGAGGACGTGTGTGAAGATATTCGGGAGGGGACTGCATCAGGGACAGGTCTCCTTTGCTGCCCACCCCAAGGCAGGCCTGACTGCTGCCAGAGGGTCGCATCGGCGGGGGCCACACCGGCTGGCAGTGCAGAAGAAAAAATACAGGTCACCTCAGGTCACCAGCAGAGGCCCGAAAGAAGATCCGGCAGAGCGCCTGGAAAATTCCACTGGGTGGCGGAGGGATCTCTGCGGTGGCGTGGGGGGCGGGGCGGGGCCCGGGCGCGTGACTCCTCGGGCGTTGTCACCTCCTGCTCGGCCGGTGACGTCAGCGCTGGCGCCAGCAGGACGGGGGTGGGGGTGGGAGGAGGAACTAGCCCAGCAGCTAGGTAGGGTGCTTAATTTGCCTCTGAGGTAGTAATTGTGGGGGGGGGGGGGGAGGTTGCGAGCTGCGGTAAAGCAGGGGTTTTGTACGGAACACAGAATGAGCGTGTGTTTATCATGTGTATGATTGCAGGACATTCCGCAAATCATCTTCCTTTGGGTGTGGGAATGGTGAGAAAAATTATTTTTAAGCTGCATTCTGCGACAGTTTATGGCCTGTGGTGGAGTCCAGGCAGTGGGTTTGAAGACCACAGGGGGTGCAGGCTGGTTGTCCACTTGGGTGTCCACTTGGGGTGGGGCCCAGCCCAGGTTCAAAAGCAGACCTTGCCCGCAAACCTTAGCGCCTTTCCCAAAGCTGAGCAGGGAGAGATGGGGTTTAGTGAGGCTTCTGGAAAAAGGGAATTGTCACCTCCCGTGCCAGTGAGGGGCCCCAGACACAGCCTGAGCCATCTCCTCGGCTCTGGTGTCCCCTACCCCCCACTCCCCCCCCCTAAAAAAAAAACTGGAAGGACAGTTCAAGTAAACCGAAAAAAAGGCAGTTGGCAGAATAACTGCCCGGAAGTCTCCTCCCAGGCTCACCACCCACGCTACAAACAAAACCACCCTGTGACAACAGGCTCCCTTGACAACCGGGAGGGGAAAACCAGGGCGGAGAATGTTCTGCCTCCGGCAGATGGAATCCGCAGGCGTGGCTGGGCCTAGACTGCACTCCCTGTTCCGGAAAACCGGTGACCCTCACATGACCAGCAGCACAGAGGGAGATTATGTGGCAAGTGCTGGCTTGTAACGTCTCCTGTCTCCTGTGCCTGCTGAGCCTGCTCCGCGCCACCAAAGTCCTTCCCCCAAGGACTTTCCTATCAGTCTTTTATTGATTTATTCCCCCCTTTTTTCTTAATTTCAGACATTGTTGCCTATACTAGCCTGGAAATCACGACGATCCTCCTGCCTCAACCTTTCCAGTGCTGCAACTTTCCCACCATGTCTGCCTTTGTCTCCTCTGCTTCATCCTGGCAGCACTTCCAGGCGTGGGTGATGGGGGGTGGCGACTGCCTTAAAGAACAGGGAGTTGCTTGACAAAGTGTTCTAGAAAGCTGGGAGGCGGTTGGAAACCAGTGGGAGAGGCTTCCCTGCGGCTTTGCAGGCCCAGGCTGTGGGACAGCTCTTTCTGTCTCTGAGGTGATTTGTTCAGCCATTTCCAGCCCACGATGTCTTCTTTACCTCTGGTCTCTAAATGTCCTTCACACACTCCGTCCCAGGAACAATCTTTAAGACTTATTTTTTAGTGTGTAGCCTAGGACTAATTGGTGTCACAAACCAGGGTTATAAACGCCCGGTTGCTTGGCAGGTTCAGGGGCTCCTGGTCTACAAGGACAGTTTTTCTTGGGACGAGAATGTATTTGAGGGGAGAGGTGAGGGGGCCTTGGAGGCCAGGGCTGTGACCATCCTTTCTTAGTGGGGCAGCTAGGGTTCGGTGAGCTTCCTCTGTGGAGATGACCTCCACCTGCTGAAGGACACGGGCGGGGCAGCCACAGCAGCAGCCAGCCAATTTCCCCAGAGGAAAACAGGCTGTTCTGGAGACTGTGGTAAACAAGCCTGTGGGTGGGGTTGAGTGGTGCCCGCCTGCTGAGTCCGCCCTATTTCTGAGGGTGGCTTTACCAAGGGCCTTCCCAGCCAGCTATGGGAATTCTGGGTTAGAGGGGAAGGAGCAAAAGGGGTTCTTTTCGTGACACCCAAGCCTTTCTCAAGGCTATGGCAGTCCCCATTGGCCTCTTCTTCGGAAGTCAGCTTAGCCCTGTTGATTGCAGACACAGGCACAACTCAGGGAAGGGACGAGGGATTTTCTACAAAAAGTTTTGGACTAGTGGGAAAGAACCAAGCAGTTCCAGGTGCGCCCCCAAAGGCCAGGCCAGCACCGCTGTTCCCACAGGGGTATTCCAGAACTCCAGCCGCCCCCCACCACCACCACCATCCTCCAGGGATCCAGTTCCTGGGCTGTAGCCTTGGATTCCCTTGGACTTTTCCTGGTGCCAGAGACCTCCTCAGCCTGGGCTTCTTCACAGGGAGCCCTGAACCGTGCCTGCAGATCAGGAAACTGCATGGTCACCATGTGCTGGCAGGAAGCCTGCCTCACGGATCTCCTGGCCTTGCAGCTGCCTGAGCGAAGGACCTAGGCTCTGTCTCCTGTGTGACTGGGCGGTGGGGTGGGGCTCGGCTCCCCCCATATTCCACAAACCCGGAAGCATTTTGTTTTTATGGAAACAGGTCTCACCCAGTGTCACCCTGTCCATCTTTATCCTCCATTCGCGCAGGCCAGGGCCACAAAGTCACCTCTCAGGGAGCCTCTTGGCCCTAGCTCTAAATCCGTCCCCCACGAACTTGACCTGTCGGGGAGGGGTTTCTGCCCTGTGTACTCTAGTTCGCTGAGCCCACAGGAGCTCTGGCAGGAGGTAGTTCCCAAGTGGGTGACTTCACAGTTTGTTCTCTAAAGGTCACTCTGGGGCCTGTGAGGCTCTTGGTAAATATTTGTCGACTGACTCAAACAAGGACCTCAGGTCAGCTGAGCCCCATGATGTGGCAGGCCCTGCTAGTCCGGAGCTCAAAGACTGGGGTGGCTCGGGTGACTTTGGGAGAGGGGCACTTTGAGGATCAAAAGTAAGCAGAAGGGATTTGAGGGAGTGGTCCCTGGAGGTTGAGGGGTTGGGTTCTTGGTTCTGTTGTTCAGGTTTGCAAGGCAAGGGAGACCCTCCTGCTTGGTTCCTGTTTTCTTGGTCCCCTCAGATCTAAAGGCAGGAAGGAGGGAAGGGGTCCTCAGACAGCAGGAGGCTGCTCAAGTGTGGGACCCTGCCTTTCCTGGGCATGTGGGGCTCTGTGGACTCCTCATCACAGAAGCCCTTGCCAGCCTCGGGGGTTGGCACCGCCTTCAGTTAGGCCTCCTGCCATGACTTGCAGAAAGTAACTTAGATGATGTCAGCCCAGACACTCAGAGCTCTTTGGACTGTGTTCCTGGCCCGTCCCACATACAATCCTACAATCCCAAGCACTTAAGCCTGGCTTCCTGCTAGGTTCTTGGGCTCCAGGCCTCTTGGTACTCCCTTCCTGAGCCTTTTCCCGCTACCTTTCTGTCACTGGGTCCTCCTTTCTCAGCCCCTCCAGATGGAATCGGGGACCCAGCCCATAGGCTTTGTACCCTGGGCCTCCAGTAACTTCCCCCACCCTCCATGGCCCTCCAGTGTTTACCTCCTGGCTTTCTTAGGTTCCTCAATTTGCCTTGTGTACCCTCTCCCAGCCTCCTCCCCAAGTCCACACTCCATAAACCCTGGCAGCAAGTTCCTCTGGGGCCTTCTGCTGTCTCGCCCTTCCTTCCTCCTTCTCCAGGACCAGCTGAGTGCCGCAGGTCACTCTAAGATGGGAATGGTCTCAGCCCAGGATGTGCTTGCCACCATAGGGACCACAGGCACGGACACAGGTACACTAGACTGTCCGTGAGCCTTCTGCAACCCTGCTTTGGTCCGAGTGTCACCCGTGAACAGTCTCAGAGCCAGGGCTTCCACCAGCTGCACAGCAGGCAGAGAAAAATCCTTCTGCTCATCTTGAGATGTATAGGAGGCCTGCAGTCACTGGCTGAGGCTGTCAGTGGTCCTCACTGACACCACCTCCCAAATGGCAGGTGAGGAGACAGAGAAGTCCTAGCGTTGGGACTTTAGTCTGTTGTAAATCATATTTATGTAAAATAATTTAAATTTGGGATCAAGGGAATTTCTCAGTAGTAGAATGCCTACCAGGATTCACAAGGCCCTCCATTTGACCCCTGGCCTTAGTAAGAAGTAAAACAGCTGGAGGGCTCAGTGAGCCAGGCTGAGTGAGCAGGGCTGGGGCGGGGAGAGGCCTCCTGACTTACAGGGCTGAGGCCGGGAAACTGGAAGGTGAGGAGTGGGTGGGTGGGCAGTGACCTGAGCCAGCAGCTCTGGTGGGAACGGGGTGGAGCACAGGGGAGGTGATTATCCCCAGGGTCTGCTCACCTCTGGATTTCCCCCAAACAGTCCTATTGGCTTTACATATTTGACAGAGTTCTCATTGCACAGAAAAGCAAGCAGGTTCCAGAGCAGAATCCATTGCAAGGTCCTGGATGCTGGGGTTGTGGATGCCCGGGTTCTAGAGAGGGCCAGGCAAAAATCATGGCAGGCCCCTAATAACTCAGTTAAGAACTAGGCCTCGGTTCTTAAACTTACTAGGCCTGGGCGAAGCTCCATCACACACACACACACACACACACACACACACACACACACACACGTGATAACAAGTAAGGACTTGTCCAGATTTGCCCAAGAATGGAAAAGCCATAGGCTTGGCCCACCCCTGCTAGCCCTGTCCAGTTAGAAATGTGCTAATATGATTGGCACTCGTGTAAGCCAATCCTAAGTATAACGGTCACACTGCTTTTAAAATTCCTGTAGCTGTGCTTAAAAGGGGCTTACATATTCCTTTCTAGGTTGTCACCATTTTGTAGAGATGTGTGCCACCCCACACGCATGTGATATGATAAAAATGCTCCTGCTGATTGCACGGTGGCTGACAGTCTTTGGGGGACCTCTCGCAGACCCCAACACTAGAGTCAGAGTGTGTACTCAAGTAAGGGTTCTGTACCTGGAGGCACAGTGCTGTTGCAGGCCACTTGGACTGGCCTAAGCCAGAAATGCTGGCTCACGATGCCTGAGGCCCAGCAGAGAGAAAGGGAGAGCTCAGCCGCCCTCTGCTGGTCACAGCTGAGCCTGCTGTTCCTCTGAGGGCAGAAAAAAAGGGTTCATCCATCCATTGGC